CAGGATAAGCTACTCCATCACCTTTCCCGGGATGGAGGTGAGGCTGACCGGCCTGCAGTTCCCTGGGTCCTCCTTCTTGCCCTTTTTGAAGATTGGAGTGACATAGGCCTTTCTCCAGTCCTCGGGCACCTCTCCTGTCCTCCAGGACCTCTCAAAGATGATGGAGAGTGGCTCAGCAATGACATCCGCCAGCTCTCTCAGCACTCGTGGGTGCATTTCATCGGGGCCTAAGACACAGGTTATAAAACTACTGCAAAGTAGTAAATTTCATCAAGGTCTCTCTGAAACAGCTGTCCATGAACCAGTGGTTGATTATGGAGCCCTAAGTTTATGTGGTCTAGAAGTCTTCTATTCTTACAGCTAACAAGATGAACTCAAATTCTAACCCAGTTTTTTTAATGAAATCATTGGTTGCTGTCCCAGGGAAGTTATGGGTTTATTATAAAAAGGGGTACTCCATGGTAGGCAAAAGATTGAGAATACCTTTCTTTTTGAATAACCTGTTGAACTAGACATGAGGGCTATATGTAGGACTCCATAGGAAATTTTGGCGTCCCTGCAGGTAATGGAATTTTGTCGTTTTTTGAAATGACATTTATTATAAGATATCATTGTCATTTAAAAAATATTTTATTTCCCATTACTGACTTTCTTGAAAAAGTCACTTCACCTTTCTAAACATCCTGTTCTTCAGCTGTAAAATAAGGATAATAATGAATTACTTCCCTTGGTGAGGTATTTTTAAAATGATGATAAAAATCATCATAAGACTGCATTCTGAGGAATACAGATTTTACTTCTACGTGTCAAAAATACAGCACCCAATTGCCAACACAGTCTGCTTCAGTAGAAGATTGGTTCTATACTAATGGTAAATTAAGAAATAAATTATATGATTGTACTGAAGTTTTATAGTTCTTCATTCATTGGCAGTAGTTAATGCTCAGCCATTTATCCCGGTGGTGAAACAGATATTTAAAAGTTCTATTAAGATGAGAACAGAATCTGACTAACACAAATGACTGATCTTAAAGTTATATTCATTTCTATCAACGAGTGATATTTTTATGGTACATTTTCGCATTGACATTTTGGCAGGTGTCAGAATGATAGCACTGAGCATGAAGGAATTCCCATAGACTAGATTCTCAAGAGATGTAAATCAGCAGAGCTAAAATGCATTAGAGCCACAAGAAATTATACCACCTTAGAAGCTGTTCTCTAGTATCTGCTATCCCTACCGAAATATGTTTCAAGTCAGAAGTGAGCACTGCTATTGCTTTAATACCATGCTGTATTGAGTCCAAAAAGTCATATGCCAAGCCTGTGAATCAATGCAAAACCCAGAAGACTGGAATTAATGACATTATTGTGATGGGTCTACATACAGCCTATAATATTTTGTGACCATTATATATCCAACTTCATCATTGAGTCTTGTATTTGCTCTGTGGCCTGTTTTCTTTTAAGTCAGAGCACACCTGTTGAGAATTGGAGCGTGACGTTTTTTATGACAGTGGACTCTCTTTTTGTCATGCTTTGTTCTTCTAATTTTTGAAAATATGGCATTTTTGTTTCGAATAGGCTGTTCCGGGTCCCTGTATTCATAAGCTGGTCACAATTCCTGAAGAACAGGTTTTGCGTGCTGAGTGGTCATGGCTGGTTTGGAGGATGTCCATGAATCCAGAATAAGTAAATACATCACAGGGTGCTGGGACTCATGAAAACTAGAGGGATAGCACAGAGCGTGGGTTCTCCAAGAGTTCAGCTAACCTAGAACTGTGACCTCTGTTTTTATTGGAATTCTACTACCAAGGGGTCTTCATTTGTCCAGAAACAGATTTGGACTTTATCACTGTTGAGTGAAAGCAAGAATTTATTGTTTTTCTTTTCTAGTTCATATAAACAAATGATAATTTTACACGTTATTTCCACATGGGACATAACATCAGTCGAGTAAGAGCAGCATCACATGTGTTAGTGGTTTCTAAATAGTAGAAAATATTGACAAATTGAAAGCAAAAGACAGATGAACATGTTGGTTTGAAGATGGAGGGGAAAACTTAACTCGTAGTGCTAATGTACACTCCATGTTATATTTTACAGAAAGCTGTTAATAACCTGTTTTTTCTGAATGTGCAGCAGCCACTTTCTAAGTGTTTTGATATTTCCTCATAGAAAACTTGAAAAAGCAGCCTACATAGGAATTCCTTGAGAAGTGTTATGATGTTCTTGTACTCAAGCACAGTGGAAAGATCTCATCTAAGCAGTATTTGTTTAAAGATCTTCTGTATTCTATCAAGTGAAGACTGCATGTTTAATACATAATATATAGTAATATATAATTAATTTATGAAATAGAGCAAAAGGCAATAAATGCATTCATTTGGTCTGGACCTTCATAACCAGGAGTACAAAGTATACCCAAGACAATAAACAGTTCTATTTCTGCAGGCATCACTTCTACATCAGTAAGGGCTCAAGGGGGTAATGAATTAACAGATTTTTTAGTATTCAAGAAACTTCAGCAAATTCCAAACAAAAAATGCCCTTTCTCATATATTTTGCGGACAGTAGATACAATTTAGAAATATTTAGAAGTTTCATCAAACAAACTGCAGGAAAAAAGATCACTTCTGAAGACAAAAGTCACAAAGTTTCTTATTTATAGCTGCCTTTTTTCTGCTTCATGAGCCATCTGTGTCTGTGTATATAGCCCAAGTACCTCTGAGCCTAAATGTTAAATCAGTGAGATACAAAAAGAAAAAAAACAAATTACATAGAGCTACTTCAAGAAAGATAACTTCATGCATATAAGCCACAAGTAGTAAATCAAAAGGATGAGTCTCTCACCTTGCTTCCCTCATCAGCCTCCCCGCAGAGGCTCCAACAGGCAAATTCACAGAATCACAGGCTGGTTAAGGCTGGAAGAGACCTCTGGAGGTCATCTCATTCGACACACCTACTCAAGCAGGGCTGCTTAGAGCTGATTGCCCAGGACCATGTCCGGATGGCTTTTGACTGACTCCAAGGATGGAGACTCCACAATCTCTCTGAGCAACATGTGTCAGTGCTCAGTCACTCTCAGAGAAAAAGTGTTTCCTGAAGTTCAGGCAGAACCTCAGTGTTTCAGTTTTTGTTCTTTGCCTCTTGTCTTGCCACTTAGCACCACTGAAAGAGCTCCATCTTCTTTAGAACTTCCCTTCAGGTCCTTTTCTTGCAAAGCTTCTTTCCAGCTGGTCAGCATCCAGCATATATTGATGTCTGGGGTTGTTCCTCTCTAGTTTCAGGACTTTGCACTTCCCCTAACTGAACTTCATGAGGTTCCCATCAGCCCATTTCTCCAGCCTGTTGATATCCTTCTGGACAGTAGCACAATCCTCTGGCATATCAGCCACTTCTCCCAGCTTTGTGTCATCAGTAGACTTCCTGAGGATATGCTCTGTCCCATCATCTGGATCATTAATGTAGATGTTAAACAGGATTGGACCCCATACTGACTCCTGGGGTAACCACCAATTATTTGCCTTCATCTGGACTTCATGTCACTGATCATCACTGTCTGGGTCCAGCTGTTCGTACTGTTCTTAGTCCACCTCACTGCCTGCTCATCTAGCCCACACTTAATCAGCTTCTTCATGTGGGTTGTACAGGATACAGTGTTGAAAGCCTTACTGAAGTCTAGACAGACAATACCCATTGCTCTCCTCTTGTTTACCTAACCCGTCTTTTCATCATATAAGTTTAAGTTCATCAAGCATGACTTCCCCTTGGTGAATCCTTGCTGATGACTGCTGATGACTTCCTTGTTGTTCACGTGCCTGGACATGGTATTCAGGAATAGCTGCTCCATCATCTTCCCAGAAACTGAGGTGAGGCTGACTGGCCTGTAGTTCCCTGGATCATCTTTCTTGCTCTTCTTGAAGACAGGAGTCGCATGTGCTTTCCTGCACTTCTTCCAGGCACCATGCTCAATCAAAGATTATCAAGAGCGGCCTTGTAATGACATCAGTGACCTCCCTCAGCACTTGTGGAGGTGTCCCATCAGGGCCACAGATTTAGGTACATCCAATTTGCTTACGTATTCCCTGACCTGAACTTCGTCCACCAAGTGTAAAACTTTCTTGTTCTATATTTGCCCCTTGCTCTCTGACATTTGGGATTCCTGAAGGTCAGTCTTGCTAGTAAAGACTAAGACAAAGAAGGCTTTGAGTACCCCAGCCTTTTCCAGGTCCTCTTTCACCAGATCCTGTGCCTCATTCACCAGTGGGCCCACACTCTCTCTAGTCTTCCTTTTGTCACCTGTGAACTTACAAAAGCCCTTCTTGTTGCTTTTGACACCCCTTGCCAGACTCAGTTTGAGTTGGGCTTTGGCTTTCCTAAGTGCCTTCAAAGCAAGAGTACATATACAGAGGGGGTCTGTGCCAGCATAGGGGCCATCCACTGGCTCCAGCATGGGGTTCTCCACAGGCTGGAGTGTGGATGTCTACGCCAGTGTGGTCCTCTTCACAGGCTGCAAGGGGAAAATCTGCTTCATCATGGTCTTCTCCAGGGGCTGCAGGGGAATTGCTGCTCCAGTGCCTGGAGCATCTCCTCCCCTTCCTCCTCCTTTCACTCTGGTGTTCGCAAGGCTGTTTCTCACACTTTTCCCCTCACTCCTCACTTCTGGGCTGCATTTTGCTGTTTCTTCTTTGTGCCTGTCAAAAGTTTCCCAGGAATACCTTCAAGCCACAGCTGCAGCCAGCTATTGGGGTGGGCTGTGTCTATGAAGGCTGGAGTGCCAGGAAGAACAACGCCCTCTACTACCTGCTTGTGCCCGTGAGTCCTTCCCCTGGGCACACCTTCCACTTGGAGCTGAGGACTTTGGAGGAGATGCCAGCAAGAAACTCCTGCCTCCATGTGCATCTGGAGTGCATGTGCATGAGGGAGCAGCTGGTGGGAGATGCGCAGTGCTTCCTCCATGGCTGCCAAGATAACTTGAGATGAAATCAGGACCCCAGCCTCCTACACACCCTCTGCAGTGGCTTCTACCTCAGTGTGAAGAAAACATTCTGCTGGTTTCAGATATTGGTGAAAGCACCCTGGCAAGTTATGCCTCAGTCATGGCACTGCTGGCTAACTATGCTACCCTTCAGCTGCTCCTGGAAGCTACAGCTGACAAATGCCTCCAAGAGAACTCTCTCCACAGAGATGAGGTTAGGGTTGCAGCTGGATGACTCAAATGCCTTCCTGATCATTGACTAGGTAGAGACTGGCCTTATGAACAGCACCATGTGGCCGGAGAGCTGCATTGTGGCAGGGATGCAGTTCTCCAGGCACATGGCCAGGTGTGCCTGGCACAACAGATTCCACCTCAAGTATCTGCAGCTCTTTACCCGTATACTGGTGGGCACAGACTTTTCTACCCATGCCTTGAAGACAGCTATGATGTGACTTCTGATGACCATACACTGTCAAGCTGGCACAGAAGAAATTTCCTCCTGCTGCTGTATGACAGCCTGAGGCAGTTGTGCTGCTGACTGGAAGAGAAACACCTCCACCACCTCCTTTTCAGCAAGAAGATTGTGACTGAGGAGACGGCCTTGTCTGCACGGCCAGCCTACTCGACCTCTCCCAGTGCGTGATGCAGGAGCTGGCTGCCCATGCCCAAGCACTGCATGAGTTCAAGGAGCTGTGAGATTGGTTCACAAGACTGCTGACCTCCAGCTATTGAAAGAGGTCTTCAGTCACAGACCTGTGTTTGCAGGGGTCACAGATGACAGCAGATGATGACCTCACAACCCAGGGAAAAAGCACAAAGGACAGGCACCATGAGTGTGGAGCAGGGCCCAGGCTGCTGCCCCAGCGCGAGACTTGGGCATGAGCCATCACAGAGCAGTGGCTCCAAGAGCAAGAGGTGCATCCCACCAGAGATCACCATGAAAAAATGGAAATCTTCATGAGCATTTAATAGTAGCCAGCACACTGAATAACTTTTTGCTGTTAGATTTATTTAATCTAATGCCCTAGTACTTCCTTCCCTAATTAGCATTGCTTTTCGCAGAATCACAGAATCACAGAATGGTAGGGGTTGGAAGGGACCTCTGTGGGTCATCTAATCCAACCCTCCTGCTTCTGTGTAATTAATTTTGGTTTCTATAGAGAGATGCTATAATTACGGAATTCATAATTAAAAATGTTGTAACCAAATTGTAGATTTTAGCTACATCCATGCAATCTTAGTGAATCCCACATCTTTGGGAGTATGTCATATGAACAGATTTCAGATGAAGAATGCCACAGAAGTTTAAAGAATAGAAAACTGCTTTGGTATGGTAGATACAGCTGCAAAACAGAGCCCACCATTGCACAAACCACCAGTTAAATGCCATAAACCATGCATTACTGCTCTTTTGTTGATATTCTGAAAATAATTATGATTGTGAGCTGTCAGAAAGATTTACTGCACCAATTACGTTCATCACCAACTGACAACCTACCTAGGCAAACCCTTTTAAAACCAAAGCCTCCTACAACACTAATGAGCATTAAAGAACAAAATATATAACTCCCATGAGTCAGAGGCACAGAGGCATAACTTACCACTGCTATAAACAGTAAATCTTTACATATGCCTATTGGCAATGATGTTCCACAAATGTCAGCATAGACTCTTGTTTTCTAACTTCATTAGTAATGCTCCTCTTCATTACTTTTATAATCTGTAACCTATAATCAACTATACCAACATAAAGAAATATGTTTCATGCAGAGAACAAGATTTCCTTTTGGAGTGGGAATAAGCAGGGTGGTATGAAAAGGGTGTCATAGAACTTTCAAGAATTAAAAGCCCCCCTGAAGATTTCTAGGTCTCTATCTAAAGACTATACTACTATTTGCATTCAGTGAAAGGATTTTTGGGTTTTTTTTGTCTTTTTTTGTTTTTTTTTTTTTTAAGCAGTGGTGGCCTTGGAACAGTACCACAGTCTCTGTCATATTCTATGCTGCAATGTAGCCATTTGTCACAATGTCATACATGCTACAGGATCTCATTGAGGTGTCATGCCCTCAAAAAAAAACATGCCTGCTGCCAAGAATGAGACACAATAAAACAGGAGTATGTCCTGCTAAAGAAAGATATTGTTTTGTTTGTCAGTAGTGTTGAGAGCAGTAACTTCACTCAAAGGAGCACTCTCAGAATATTTTAGCACAATTGTCACATGCATAGATAAACCCAGTGAAATATTGTTTTAAGGATCATTATTTGTATAGTATTTCAAAACAATTTGTCTTGACCTAATGCTTTCATAAATACATGATACTTGCAACTCCTGGGTGCATCTACAGGCCACTCCAAAACTGAAGCCTAGATAAACGTAGCAATCAACTATGCAGTACCATATGTCGAATATCATTTCACTAAAATTAGACAAAACAACAAACAGTCCATCACTAAGTAGAGATTTCAAATAACATCAGAGAAAGAACAGCAAAAATGTTTAAAAGTTGAGAAACATTTCAGACCCCTTCACTAAAAAGCTGAATTCCATTATACAGTCAGGTGCAAAAATACCTGGTGAAAGACATATAAACTGTGTACTCATAAGCATATTTTATTGTAGTGTCCCTGCCAATACTCTTCAGGACAGTTCCATGGCAGTCTGCACTGTTCAAAGTGAGATACAGCTTCAGCGCAGACTGGAAAATCTTTGAGTGCAACCTTAAAGTGGAAAACCTTGAAGCGGTGGAAAAACCTTCCAGCATATGACAGAACACACTCAATATGCAGCTGAATTTATAAACATGTATCCCATAGCAATCTGTGGGCATGGTCCATCCCACTTAAACTATCTTACCCTCATGACAAATTCCTATGCCTTTGTTTATCTGCACACAGTACTGAAGTAAGAGTCAAATCATAAATGTGATCCATAAGTAAGAAATATACTGGAGAAGTGCTCCTGCCTCCACAAATAGACATTTGGAAAGGTTCTTGGCAGGACCTTCATACAAAATCACACTTTTGATATTTGGGTAAAGGAGAGAGGTAAGAGAAAGAAAAATCAGTAGCTATGGAAAAGTATAAGCAGAGAAATTAGGCCTCCAAGTCAAGAGTTCCATAGGGAGAAAAAGAGAAACATCCAGCATGTCCACACAGCTGCGGGCTTCCTATCACCACGGACACATCATTGGCACAAAAGGGTGTCGAACAGGTAAGGCTACAGCACTAGTCTTGTCAGCAGTGAGGCAACAACCTTCAGGACACAATAACCAAGCTTTTTTGGCTTGGTTTTTGTTTCCTGAAGGTTTGACAACCCTTGGTAGCCGAGAGGTGAATTCTATCAGTCCTTCGAATCGCCCATCTGGCAGCCAAATTTTCTCTACCTGGCAGTAAATAACAATTAGTCATATGAACTCTACTAACCCTGCTCTTTTTTGTTTGGAAGGGGGGGGGGATGCCCATTATGACTTGTGATTGAGAAAAATGCAGCACAGTATTGTCACAGACCTCTGCAGTAATGGCTGGAATGGACTTGCCAATGTTCAATATCCATGACACAAATCTGTAGGAATTTGACAAGTTTGTCAAGATAATCTCCCAGTGAGGAGTTTGCAAGCACTTGAGAAGTTACCACAGTTAGCAATTACTGCAAAACACATGACAAATATGTCTGATGGTCAGTTTGGTACAGTGGTTTGGTTGTATACTTATCAGAAGAAGAAAAGAAAGTCAGAATTCTGCTTCCAGGCAGGTTGAAGTCCAGTGCAGCTCCGTACTCATCTTGCTCAAAAAATATATGTCATATATCTCTACCCAATAAATACTGGATAATGTTTTTCATAAGTTTTTAAACCACTGTAATTTTACAGTCCAGCTTCTACATAACCTACCTTTTCACAGATATATTACTAAACGGATGCTTCTAATAAGTTTTACCTACCATTCACCCTGCTCAAATCTGTTAATTAAGACTTTCAGACACACACAACAATCCTACCTTTTCTGTTCCTGGAGGACTATGCATATGCATGAATGATCTCTGCAGCTGGAATGTTAACACTGCTGAGGGAAATATTCTATATATGGAACAGTAGCCATATGCCCACACATCATACCTTGCCCCTTTTACATAAATATAATCTAAATCTACATCATACTGGGATATGCAGTGTTTCAGAAAAGATAGCTTGGGAAAAGCATGTTCACTGGGCAACAAATTTTCTTTAAGCTTGGGGGGGGAACTAATAGTAGCTACTTCTGCTTTCCAGAAATAAAACACAGCTATCAGAACTCCCTGGCTATTTGACACCTCATTTTCTCTGCAGTAACAAATACATCTAAGGAGGCTTCTATTTCAATAGTTCGCTCCACCCTCTTCAATACGAGATTTTAAGCACCTTTTAAGATCATGACAGTTATTCAATCTTCCTTACCACATAACACACAAAAGTGTATTTTCTGGCTGAGAAGCAGAAGACCTTTTAGAAAGCTATCCAAGGCCTTTAATATTATAGGACGTAGTCTTCTTATGCAGCCCGTCAGGAAGAACAGACACCTCAGAAAGGGAGCACCTACACATATGTCAACAAGGACCAAAGTTTGACTTGATATCTTATCTCGTAAAGCGTTCACCAAACAAGTTGCAGATCACAGTCTGATGCCCTGATTGGACTAGGGATACCGACCCTTATCACTCACCTCCCAGCTACAGCCACCAAGCAGCTGGCTATTCCAAAGTGCAGGACACTCCCAGTCTGCTCTGGGTTTGCTACCACATGGACAAGATCAGAGTTTAGTCAGAAAGAGAAAATGCAGAAGTGATTATTACTGCTCTTCCATTTCCTCTCTGATAACTACAGACCGGCACCCAGTTCTCCCCCTCCCCAACACAACTCTTTGAGGTGCTCCTGAACTGCTGAACTGGAGTTTAACCTTCATTCTTCCTTTCAGTGAGAGAGATGCTGCCCACAATTGTTAAACAACGTTGCAGAATTCAAATATCGCTTTCTAACAAGTATGAGATGTATCCCCTCAGTCTTTTCCATGCTTAAAGAAGCTCTGTTTGATAAATATTTACCATAATTCTTGTACAGAGAAACATAATTAATGTTAGTGTAGCTGTAATAAATCTTGAACTTAAATATTATCTTGCAATTTCCATTTTTAATGAATGGAAACCTTCCATTTGTAGTGGACTTTGCTGGCCTAAGCAGATGCAGTCTAGTCCTTGCTGTTTGCAACACTGCTGAAGGAGCTGTGTTTC